CCCCCCCTTGGTGTAATGCGAGTGTATTATCCACTGCACTACATCTTGTTGTCTATAAGTACTGCATGTTGCTATCATTTTGTCATGTTGATAAATATTTACTTTGTTACGGACAGTTATAATGAGATAATATCCAATGTTATTATTTATCTTAGGAAACCAGCTCATTGACAAAGATGCCTACCTGTTTATCGACGCCCTGAGGAGCAATATATCCCTCACATCTCTCGACTTCAGCAACAACAACTTTGGGGAGATGGCCGGCGTCTATATAGGGGGCGCTCTGGTAAGTCCTATTTTATAGGGGGCACTTGAGTAAACCTTACTATATAGTGGCACTTAATATAAAGGGGGCGCTCTGGTAAGTTTTAGGACTGTATACATGTAGCAAAATCTTCTCGGGGGGATGGATTATTTGCGATTTTCGGGTCAATGCGACATGCATAAAAATGAGTCGTAATATTAAACTTCATAGCTGAGTGACGTCATGAAATACTATGTGGTTGTGATGATTCATATACATAAAGAGTAATGATGACTGAAAATAGGTTATGTCACACTTCTAGTAGTCTTGTTGCTGTTTTATTTAACAAAACAAACTTACTTGTTGTTGCTCAATATGCTGTAATAAAGCGTATTCATTTGACTATTTGACACTTTAAATGCCTAGTTTCCCATCTCTGTGCTAAAACACTGTGAGAATGCTGTTCCTTCACATGGTTAGATTGCGATATCATAATCCATTAAATTTGAGTAATTGCCTTTTCTATACATTAACAAGGAAATGTTTCCTTACAATTTTATCTGGTTTCCTTGAAACCAAATGAGGTAGTCGTAAATATGTGTTGGATATACTGAAATTATGAGAGATCAGGGGATAAAGAGAACAGCCTTTGTATGTTCATTGTTTATGAATCTTAACAGCCCATCAACACAATAAAGATGTATAATGGACCACTCAGTAGAACAGGGATAAATAACAATGTGAACAGAAAGACAAGGAAGTAAAGAGCTGTAAATAAAGTCTTTTTAATTTTCAGGCAATAAATGACAGTTTACATGACCTTGACCTCAGTTGGAATGCTATAAGAGGCAAAGGAGCTGTAGCTGTGGCAGAGGCCTTATATGTGAGTTATTACTACTGGCCTTAACTCATTCACCCCTAACGACACATTTGAATTCCTCCAATTCAAAGGTTGGAATAGTTCATTGTGAAATTTCAGGGTTGAAAGAGTTGATTATCATCTCAATCATAAAAGTGTTTATGTAACTGAATTGTATAAGTTGATGAATGTGTATTAAAATGATTTATGACGACGTCATATCAACTTTGTTTTAGTACATTTATTTGTAAAAAAAACTATTAAGGTTAATTGAGGTCCCCACTGCATGAATTATAATTATACAGAAGAGTTCCACTTCAAAGCTGTGTTTTTTTTTTTTTTTTCTTTTCTTTCTACCATGACTGAAGCTTTAGCAAATAAAATTGGTATTGAACAAATGTGTTGCTCCTCAATACGGATTTATCATTTCCATAATAACTTGATCATGTGCAAACAAAAAAGCAGAGTTTTGATTTGGTTATCAACTTGTTTCCTTTAACACAGAAAAACAATACTTTGGAGGTATTAGATCTGGCCTGGAATGGCTTCGGTGTAGCTGGAGCAGCAGCCTTACAACAAGCTCTAAGGGTTAACACTAAACTCAAGGTGCTCGACCTCAGGTAAGCTCTCTATAAACTAAACTCAGAGTGCTCGACGTCAGGTAAGCTCTCTATAAAACTAAACTCAAGGTGCTCGACCTCAGGTGAGCTCTCTATAAACTAAGCTCAGAGTGCTCGACCTCAGGTAAGCTCTCTATAAACTAAACTCAATGTGCTCAACCTCAGGTAAGCTCTCTATAAACTTAACTCAAGATGCTCAACCTCAGGTAAGCTCTCTATAAACTAAACTCAGAGTGCTTCACATCAGGTAAGCTCTCTATAAATTAAACTCAGAGTGCTCGACCACCTCAGGTAAGCTCTCTTTAACTCAAAGTGCTCCACCTCAGGTAAATTTTCTTTAAAATTAAAGTCAAGTTGCCTAACTACAGATGAGTTCTCTATTATATTAAACTGAAGGTGCTTAACTTCAGATTAGCTCTGTATAAAATGAAGCTCAACCTCAGGTAAGTTCTCTGTAAAACTAAACTTTAGGTGTTTAACTTCAGGTAAGCTCTATAAAACTAAACTCAAGGTGTTTAACTTCAGGTAAGCTCTATAAAACTAAACTCAAGGTGTTTAACCTCGGGTAAGCTCTCTATAAAACTAAACTCAAGGTGTTTAACTTCAGGTAAGCTCTATAAAACTAAACTCAAGGTGTTTAACTTCAGGTAAGCTCTATAAAACTAAACTCAAGGTGTTTATCCTTGGGTAAGCTCTCTATAAAACTAAACTCAAGGTGTTTAACCTCAGGTAAGCTCTATAAAACTAAACTCAAGGTGTTTAACCTCAGGTAAGCGCTCTATAAAACTAAACTCAAGGTGTTTAACCTCAGGTAAGCTCTCTATAAAACTAAACTCAAGGTGTTTAACCTCAGGTAAGCTCTCTATAAAACTAAACTCAAGGTGTTTAACTTCAGGTAAGCTCTCTATAAAACTAAACTCAAGGTGTTTAACCTCAGTTGAGCTATCTATATACCTAAAGAAGTTGCTCTTTCTCCGGTGCTTGATGTAGTTTAAAGTGAAACATATAATTCATAGGGGAACATGTATACTGTTCACTGTAAAACATGTAGTTCAAATGGAAACATGTACTTTACAGAGGCCAGAGCCTCTCAGTGACTCCCAATGTTGCTACCTCATAATTTTTAATAATGTAAGATTGTATAATGAAAGAAAATAAAGACAGAAAGAGAGCGATCAAATGGTGAAAATGAAGAAAGAATCAATCTTGCGAGGAAGATTCTTTGTAAGAGAACTGACTTCAATGACAACAATTGAGAATCTTTTGGCATCAATGATAGGCTTCTTTTTCTATTCAAATGAAATATTTAATGCTTTAATAAAAAAAAGTAATTTGAAAACATTCTTTTGCACTTTGCAGCAACAATCGACTAAACAAAGAAGCAGCCAAACATCTGTGTGGGGGGATCAGTCAGAACTTTGGTCTGGAGACATTACTGGTATGTTTATAGGTTTAAACATTGCAAGGAACCTACACGTAGTAACATGATCCCAGCTATGGTGTAAGGGAGATAATCCATGGCTGTAAATGAAATGGTAAAGAATAAAGTCACAGAATTAAATGTATGTGAATTCGAAACGTTCTGCAGTCCCAACTGTAATTTAAATGTTTATTTGTCAGACATATATTATCTCCCGTAACTTTGAATGTTTTTATAAGTTTATTGAATTGAAATACTGTTTTGGGTGAAAAAAAATTCTCAGTATTCTCATAATATTATTATGTTTTCAAGATATATGATAAAATCTTATTTTTTGTGTTATTTTCTTCTTTTTCTTATTTAGTTTCTTGAGAAAAATAGTATTTTCTAAGTCAACTTGGGATATTTTAAAACAAAAAAGGGAGAAAAAAAAAATACATTTGGATTTTAAAAGAAAAAATTGGAATTTCTCTTTCAGTGTTTCAGTATCAGATTTTCTGTCTTTTCCTTGCAGTTAAATCTAAATCCACTGGCAGACGACGGTATAGAACTCATTCTGCAGGGCTTGGCGAAACAGGAGAGTCTACGTTACGTTTCACTCGAGGTATGACACATCACCGATCATGATTCAAATGAAACGAACATGATTAATTACTTTTATCCTCTAAAAGTGTTTGGACCGTGGATTATATAATACTATGTAGCAAAAAAAAAAGAAAAACAGTTTTTAAGTGATCAATGTTAGACCCACAGGTTAGTTTCTTTTGGACAAAAAAATATGATAAGTTTGCATTTATTGTTCTGTCTTATATATAATTAGAAAGGAACCCCTTCGGTTTTTGGCTCCCAGTTTTTTATGATGATAGGTATAAGCAAAGAAGAGTTATGCCCCATGCATGACCAACACCCCAATGATTCAGATGTAACCGTTACGACTTGTTTCAGTCGATATGAAATAGAAAATACAATTGAAATGCAAGATATATTTTGAAATTACAGAAAAAATATAAAAATAAAGTTAAAATATAGGATAATTTTAGATGTAATGTCGACTTGTCAAATTGGGCATCAAAGTGCTGATTTGAACCCCATCACAGACTATTAACAAGTTGTACCGGTCTCTCATTTATATAGGATCTTACATGAGTTTCCATTTCATATGAGATTTATGAAAGGAGTCGTAGAATTTTTCAATTAAGTGAGCCTCTGGCGAGCTAAAATGAAAAATTTGTGACAAGCTTCACAAATTTCATTTGAAAACGAATGTAAGATCCTTTTTATCACATGATCAAGATTTGTGGCATTTATTTGTGTTAAACGACAATTTTCATGCAACTGAATTGTAAAAAGCCGCCATTTTGACTTCAGTGCATAAGTCTGTGACGATATGTACTTGTCCTAGGTTTGACATCACAATTGAAACAATTGAAACTTACAATCAATCACAGGGCCGATAGGTCATATTACATGGGTTAATAAGCAAACAAATATGTCACGGGTATATCCACTGGATAACACAGTACATTATGTGATCAAAAGATTTATCAATGATGACCATCATAATCTTAATGCCATACAATTTGACATCCTAATTAGTCGCTATTAATTTCTACCCTCATCAGAGTTATTTTAAAACTTTTATATCTTATTTCTGATTGCCCGACTGGTCTTCATGCAGAATTTCTACCATCTTCAAAGCCTAATTACTTCTACAAACACAGGGTCGTGTGCCATTGTGTTAACGATAAGCAGCTATTTATATTTCTGTGTTTATTATTGCCGACAATGTTCCAGAACTGTGGGGTAAGTTTGATTTCTAGTGTCATTTCATTGGCTTTACAGAGTGTAGTGTTTCAGAATGCTGGTGATGTTGATATATGTTGTTCTCCATAATTACATATTGATTGTATAGTGTCTGATAATTTTAGCACTTTTGTTGTTTGTCGTTTTTGTGGAATAATTAAACAGTAAATTAGTAACTTGTAAAGACATGCATTTCTCCGCAAAATTTATGTACAAGACCAGAATTGTCCAAAGTATTAAAAAAATGAAAAATTTGAAATTATAATTTAAATGCTGATTTGATTTTCCACAATAGTTTATCAATATAATTTGCATGGTTTGTGTGCATGTGCATGACCAATGTAATAGATAGGAGATACATTATATACTTAATAGGGCCACTGGCATCATGACCAATGTAATAGATAGGGGATACATTATATACTTAATAGTTCCGCTGGCATCATGACCAACGTAATAGATAGGAGATACATTACATACTTAATAGGTCCACTGGCATCATGCCCAATGTAATAGATAGGAGATACATTATATACTTAATAGGTCCACCGGCATCATGGCTTCATCCTTTTTTTCAATAATTACCATATTTTACCAAATATATTTCCGGGGCACTTAACAATTTAGGAAAATAAAAGTGATTGTGAATATACCGAAATTCTCCAAAATAGCCAAAATAGAGACTTTTTGCTATGGAAGTCGGTATGTTAAATTAAAGGGATTGGATGACCATATTTGAAGGAGGATAAGAGGTACTTATAAAGGGTGGGGTACTTATTAGTAACTATCATGTAAGAGTAATTGTTCCTTTTCATGTATCCAGAAATAGTGATATGATTCTGTGTCCTGACTAAGAGGTCTACACCTTACGTGAAAGAGTGTAAACATTTATTGTTGCTTGACCCCATTGTTGTGAAATCTAACAAGCCTATCTGGTTTGTGTGGTGTGTTTGTTTTTATGCCTAATTATAATACCACATACTTACATTTTACATTTTTAAATAACGGAGAAACTTACGATTATGAAATTATGTTTTAATCAAGGTGCCCTGTAATGTTAGACATCCGATATTCTGGTTTCTGTTGTCTGTCATTATTATATTTGTATAATTAGTTTAGGAAGAATGCCACATATATTGATACCCTAGGCTGGTAGTCTTGATTTACCAAACATGATCAAATGCATGGTTATATAAATCTAGTTTAAATCTAGTCACTCAAAAATGAAAGAAAAAATCACAAATATTCAATTAATATATAGCAACATTTTATATGAGTGATATTCAAACCACAAAATTGAATACATTGAATTTTTACATTTTTTTTGGTCAAAAGTTGTATGTTTTCTTATAATATATATACATAATTTAATACATGTAAGGTGGGTTTTTTAAATATTAGAAAGTGTTATTTATAAAAAATATTGTCCAAAATATTTTCTCACATTATGTTTGCATTTAATGGATTATCAAACCACAGCAATAAATATATTTGCTTTATATTAAAGGGGCATTTTGGGCCATGAGATATTACATTGATATTTTACAAAAATCTATGGCTCTTAGAAACTGTTTGGGTATTTAAAGATTTTTTTTATTAAAATACGGAAAAGAATACTGAATATTGTATTTTATTGTAGGAGATGAATGTCAATCCCACTAACTACAAAACAATCAAGGAGATGGAAGCAGCCAGGGATATCAGCATCCTCCACGGCGGCATGGGCGGATATCAGAGATACTCAGTAAGGAATTCAACTTCTAATAAACACATCTCCATTTATTATTTCTCACATCATGAAATATTTTTACATCATTTCAAAAGAAGAATGTTAACTTGATCTCAAAATTTGGCAGTGCTGTGTCACTCTATGTAAAGAAAAAAAATATCACAAAAACCTGTATCAATAAATGTTTTGTTTTGGGGTTCAGAGAAGCATATTGGGAAGTCAGCTGCCACATCTGTGTTGTAGTGTCAGTTTTCATTTCATTTTTATTTTCAACATTTATCCAACATTTTGCTTGTAACAGAGTTTCTTAAATAAACATAACAAATGGACTTTGTATTTGCAGTCCCAGGCCAGTGTCCTGCGTGTTCTGTCTCAATTCCTCCGGGAGCACCGGTCACAGCTGACTGAAGCATGTACTCTACAGGACAAGGACAAGAGTGGCATACTGTCTACAGATGAACTCAAGGTGGCCTTCCGAGAGGCAGGACTCCGACTCACCAATGTAAGTGTATAGTGGCCTTCCGTGAGGCAGGACTCCGACTCACTAATGTAAGTGTATAGTGAGCTTCAGGAAGGTATGTGTCTTACTCATAAATATAAATGTATAGTGAACTTCAGGGAACAGGTCTTTGGCTCCCTAATGTAAATGTATAGTGAGCTTCGGGGAGACAGGACTCTGACTCACTAATGTAAGTGTATAGTGAGTTCAGGGAGACATGACTCTGACTCACTCATGTGAGTGTATAGTGAGCTTCAGGGAGACAGGACTCTGACTCACAAATGTAAGTGTATAATGAGCTTCAGGGAGAAAGGACTCTGACTCACTAATGTAAATGTATAGTGAGCTTCAGGGAGACATGAATCTGACTCACTAATGAAAATGTTTGGTGAGTTCAGGGAGACAGGAATCTGACTCACTAATGTAAATGTATAATGAGCTTCAGGGAGATAGGTCTCTGACTGACTAATGTAAATGTATAGTGAGTTCAGGGAGACATGACTCTGACTCACTAATGTAAGTGTATAATGAGCTTTGGGGAGAAAGGAATCTGACTCACTCATGTGAGTGTATAGTGAGCTTCAGGGAGACAGGACTCTGACTGACTAATGTAAATGTATAGTGAGTTCAGGGAGACATGACTCTGACTCACTAATGTAAGTGTATAATGAGCTTTGGGGAGAAAGGAATCTGACTCACTCATGTGAGTGTATAGTGAGCTTCAGGGAGACAGGACTCTGACTGACTAATGTAAATGTATAGTGAGTTCAGGGAGACATGACTCTGACTCACTAATGTAAGTGTATAATGAGCTTTGGGGAGAAAGGAATCTGACTCACTCATGTGAGTGTATAGTGAGCTTCAGGGAGACAGGACTCTGACTCACTAATGTAAATGTATAGTGAGCTTCAGGGAGACAGGAATCTGACTCACTAATGTAAATGTATAGTGAGCTTCAGGGAGACAGGTCTCTGACTCACTAATGTAAATGTATAGTGAGCTTCAGGGAGACAGGAATCTGACTCACTAATGTAAATGTATAGTGAGCTTCAGGGAGACAGGTCTCTGACTCACTAATGTAAATGTATAGTGAGCTTCAGGGAGACAGGAATCTGACTCACTAATGTAAATGTATAGTGAGCTTCAGGGAGACAGGTCTCTGACTCACTAATGTAAATGTATAGTGAGCTTCAGGGAGACAGGAATCTGACTCACTCATGTTAATGTATAGTGAGCTTCAGGGAGACAGGTCTCTGACTCACTAATGTAAATGTATAGTGAGTTCAGGGAGACATGACTCTGACTCACTAATGTAAGTGTATAATGAGCTTCATGGAGACAGAAATCTGACTCACTCATGTAAGTGTATAGTGAGCTTCAGGGAGACAGGTCTCTGACTCACTAATGTAAATGTATAGTGAGCTTCAGGGAGCCAGGACTCTGAATCACTAATGTAAATGTATAGTGAGCTTAAGGGAGCCAGGACTCTGACTCACTAATGTAAATGTATAGTGAGCTACAGGGAGCCAGGATTCTGACTCACTAATGTAAATGTATAATGAGCTTCAGGGAAACAGGTATCTGACTCACTAATTTAGATGTATAGTAAGCTCCTGGGGGGCTGGACTTCAACTTACTAATGTAAATGTATTATGAACTTCTGGATGGCAGGATTCTGACTCATTAATGTATTTTATATATTTTAAACTAAAACTCAAAAATGTCTTGCTGATTTTATTTTTCACTTTCATGAACAGAAGCAGATGAGCCTGTTGATAGATGACATAGACTCCAGACATACAGGAAGTGTACCATATGGGTAAGTCAGAGAAAACGGATAACAAATTATACAATGTAAATTACAAAAGTTGAATACCAAGGTTTTAAGAAATTTAGTCCATGGGGCCTTGTTTGATCAAGCTTTCTCTTCATGTTGCTTTTATATATCACATGAATCTCAGATATTATGATTAAGTTTGAAATTTAAGCTAAAACATATATGTCATAGGATTCACAATTACCATGTCTGATGAAAAACATAATAAAACATCATTATTTCTGTAAGTTTGAGAGAAAAAATTCAGTTGGAAACTTGACCTGTAGGTTACCTTGGTAACCAATGACAAAACATGTTCTATTCCTGGTGAGGAAACTCCATGATCTAGCTATAATAAAATGTCCTGTATTGTTTGTGTTTATGTCACACTAACTTCTTGTAATTGATGTTTTTTTTACTGTTTTATAGTGACATTCTCAGTGGGAAGGCGTTAGGTGATTTTTATGACAGGAAGCCCTCTGTGAATGCCACTGTAGCCACCACCTACAGCTCCAGACCTGGCAGTGGCCACAGCAGCTTCGGACAACACGTTACAGTGGCCTAGCTGCCACACTGTTGAATAGTTACATCAATATAGATCACCATTCATTCTGATCTTGCTTTTTATCAAGCAGACAATTGTTTTATTTGGTTGCTTCATTTAACTGGTAATGAAATAAATCAAGAAGAAATTATTTTCTGGTACAATATAATTACTCAAATATCAAAGATAATGTATTTGTAAAAATATCGTATATCTAAAACTTAGTAATAATACAAATACACTTTATACCAGGAATGCTTCATTGGGAAAATGAAAACAATGTTTGAACTTTTTTATAAATGCAAAAAGAACTTTTTTTTTTTTAAATTGATTTTGATTATTTGTCAAGTAATCACAAAAAAGTCCAGGTAGCACACTTTCTCATGGAGTTTGTCAGTCCCACCCCTTCCCTGCATAATTATTAGCCTTCTTGATTTTATTTCCTGAACTTTGTGTGATCTAAGGTCAAGGTCGTAGTTTGATTTATCTAGTCATATACCTGGGTATACGGTTACATGTAGCTGTATAATTGTAAGTAACATACATTACATTATAATACAATATCTTGTGAAATTTACATAATTCTCAGAAGCAGAAAGTGATAAAAACATTGGTGCAAAAATATTAAAAGTAGAATATGTTAACAAATATTTAAGCATAAATTGTTTAAATGATTAAGTATTTGTACTGTTCAGCCAAAATTCTTTCTAAAAGTATAAGAACACAAGTAGATATGAATGAAAGTTGGGTACATTGTATTCATTATATGTTCATTGTAGTGTTTTCATTTTTATATGCGATGCAAATTTTGAGATATTCACTGTATATTTAAGATTGATTTTCATATTAGTCATTTTAGCAAATCCCATCAAAATTTTTACTTATTTGATGTTGTTTTTGCAGTTGATTTTTTTTTTTATATTACTAAAAGATTTGTCCATTGATTTAACTCAGTGCTGATGTTTTATGATTTTAAAGTTATGTCCCCTTCCAATTTCTTCAAGTGCATATAGTTTTGTTGATGTCTTCCATTTGTTTGATAATCAGTTTTAGTTTATACAATGTATCCCAATGAAAATCCCTCCAAACAATGTACTGAGTGACGCCAGGCTGTGACCAGAGGAGTTAAAGGATCATTTGTTGTCATTTAGATAAAGAGTTTAACTTAGTCAAAATCAGTGACTGAAAAATCATGTATTTGGATATAACAGGATAGTCATTTGCCATTTGTATGTTTATTTCATTCCTATAATAAACCTGCTGTGCTAATTTTTGTGGTTAGAAAATATAGTCTTCATTGAAGATTTTAGAGAATTCCTATAATATTTCTATAAGTAGATCTTCCTTAAAATTTCCTTTACATTAAAGGGAATATATAAATGGATGTTTCCTATTTGTACAGGACAGATAGCTCCTTCAAGAGTTAAACTTACTGCCATCAAGTTTTTAACAGGACCTTCCAGATATATCCGGCAGTGTAATAAAAGGAAAACAGACGTTCAATTAATGTTCCTAGTAAACATATCTAGTGATCCTCAAAACAAACCATATTATTATCTATCAATTATGGACAAATCAGATAGAAAATATTGTTTTGTGATTACAACATCTGAGATTTAAGTTTAGAAATTTGTTCTTGTTAAATTCATTCAAGACAGTTCAAGATATACACCTGTTAGGAAGGGAGGTAACTCTAGCAGTTACAGTACATTATTTGTGTACTTTTACAAAGAGATTCCATCTTATTGGTGGGATGTCAGAGAAAACATATCATTAGATTTTTATGTATGCCAAAAATGAATCAAAGTGTCATAGAATCTCATCACTTTTTAATATCAGCCGAATGAATAAAGATATTTACTTTAATCAGATCTTATCTAAAACTGGCCTCCACCATTGTTTGTTTTACCTAATTTAAATGTTTCAGTGCCTTTATGTACATTGATACTCATTTTTTTATGTTACTTGTTTATTTTGTCTTTATTGACAAAGATTCATTAGACAATTTCAGTGTAGCTACAATCACAAATGATACGCATTTCTAGTTTCATTTTACTGTATATTTACATTGTTAGTTCTGTTAATGACACAATCAACATATAAGTATAACAGTTTTATATCATAAATAGTTGCTATGTTTTATATTGCTATGTTTTATATGTTTTTGTTTAGAGTGTTGTTTGGAAACTAAATGTTATGTGTATTTTTTGCACATACGTTTTTTTTTTTTAAATATTTGTTTTGCACTTGATTTTGTTGGAATTTCTTAAAAAATTATGATGAATACTAGAAGCACTGATGTTAAAATTGGTGTAATTGTTCGCATATTACCTATATGATATACCCTGGTAAACATGTAATTACTTATTTATTTACTTCACATACTATGGTAAACATGTAATTACTTATCTATTTACTCCATTTACCCTGGTAAACATGTAATCATTTGTTTATTTACTTCACATACCCTGGTAAACATGTAATTACTTATCTATTTACTCCATTTACCCTGGTAAACATGTAATCATTTATTTATTTACTTCACATACCCTGGTAAACATGTAATTACTTATTAATTTACTTTATATACCCTGTACAAATTTAATTGTTTAATTATTTTTACTTATATACCCCGGTAAGCCAAATTTAAACAATTACTGTATTATTCCCCAGAATATTGAATATTGAGGTTTTTCCTTTTAATAGATTATGTTCTACTCATCTGATGTAACAATAATACAGATTCTTAGTTTCATATTTTCATTCATTAGTTCACTAATTATGAAATGAATCAATGTTTATTTATTAATCAGTTATACTTTTAAAAAAATCTTTCGTAATGTTTGATTAACTTTTTTTTTTTTATAGTGTACAAAACATAAACAGCATTTTTGTAACTGAAGTGTTTAGGTAATCAGATCCCCCTCACCCCCCAAAAAAGAAAGGAAAAAAACAATCGGCATAATATCCTTGACAATAGGTATTTTATTTTAATACATGTAATGGACAACCTTTGATTTTTATGAAGCGCATGATCAGTTGAAATTCCATCTTTGCGTATTGCAGAGTTATCTTCTCTTTGGAGCAGGTTTTGATTGTTACGTCACTTGTTTGTGAGAATAACGTCATCAATTTTTGAGAAAACGACGTAATTTTCTCACAAAAGACAATGACGTAACAATCAATACCTGCTCACAAGAGAAGATTCAAAATTGTACAAATCGTGGGGCTGACCCCCCCCAGGGGGCTGACGGACGGGGCCAAAAGGGGGCAATTTGGCTTAATTGCTTTAAGCAACTTCTTCTCTTGGGCCTCTTTTTTAGTTATTTTAGCTCAGCTGAGCTTATGCCATGGCGCGTTGTCCGTCGTCCGGCCGTCCGTCTGTCAACTTTCCTTTAAACGACTTCTTCAGAGGAACCAGAAGGCATAGAGTCATGATATTTGGCTGGTAGCTTCCTTATATAAAGCCCGACAAAGTTTGCGAAAAAAATAGAATTTGACCTACTTTCAAGGTCACAGAGGTCAAATATGTAAAAGCATTCAAACAACTTCTTTTAAAATACCGAAAGGTTTAGAGACATGACAATTGGTAGGTAGCTTCCATGGAATAAGCCGAACAAAGTTTGCGAATAAAAATGGCCTTGACCTACTTTCAAGGTCACAGGGGTGAAATATGTCAAATGCTTCAAGCGCCTTCTTCTGAAGAACTGAACGTTATAGAATCTTTAAATTTGATTGATGGCTTCCTGGGATAGAGCCCGACAAAGATTGAGAATAAAAATGACCTTGACCTTCTTTCAAGGTCACAGGAGTCAGATATGTCTAGTGCTTAAAACGACTTTATTATGAAGAACTGATAGTTATAGAACCTAAATATTTGGCTAGTGACTTCCTGGGAAAGAGCTTAACAAAGTTTGAGAATGAAAATGACCTTGACCTACTTTTAAGGTCACATGAGACAGATATTTCAAACACTTTAAACGACTTCATCTGAAGAACTGGAAGGTATAGAACCTTAATATCTGGCTTGAAGCTTCCTAGGAAAGAGCCCAACAAAGTTTGAGAATGAAAATGACCTTGACTTACTTTCAAGGTCACAGCGTTCAAATATGTCAAACGGTTCAAACTACTTCTGATGAAGAATTAAAAGAAATAAATTTATAATATTTGGCTGGTGACTTCCTGGGATAGAGCTCACCAAAGTTTGAGAATGAAAATGACCTCAACCTACTTTAGAGGTCACAGAGGTCAACAACATTTTCAAGGATTTGTTCTTAATAACTAAAAGAAATGGATTCATTAGATTTGGCTGGTAGCTTTTTGGAATAGAGCTAACCAATTTGAGAAGCAAAATGACCTTGACCTACTTACAAGGTCACAGGAAAAATTATGTCAAGCAACTTCTGAAGAAGAATCAAAAAGCATAGAATCTTATAATAATATTTTGCTGGTAGTTTCAACAGATGGAGCCAACACAGTTTGCGAGGGAAATATTTTTAGTGCAATATAATATTTGATGAGAATATTTTGCTATGGCTGCTTAAATACATAATTTCTGAAAACACATTCAGTATGGAACAAGTAGTGTGTTTTTTGCTGATGGTTTCTTATTTTTGTTTTGAAAATTTGGTGGATTCATGATCAGCAGCTAATTATAAGCGTCTCCGAAACATGCTGGACTTGGTATGAAATTATTTCGCCGATTTCCTGAGACCAAAGTATTACGGTATGATTATACTACGGTATAAATAACAAGTTAACATTTTGTATCAATATAAAACTTTGAACCGATCTGCATGTGTAAGAATTTAGGTGTCTCAATTTCATATTTGTATAGGTATTCGTCAAGGTTCACTTACAAAATATAGCGCACTTTATAGGATAAAGAAAGAATTTTCTCTCTTCTCAAGAGTTATGCTTCTTTAAACAAATATGCAATTTAACCAATGATACCATCACCAGTAAAATCAGTCATTTAGTGTGTAATTGTTTGGATACCTATTGAATAACTTCGATGAAAAATTATGGTCTGACTTTTGTGAAGACTCAATTATCCCTCGGAATATTTCAATTCAGAATCAAAAATCCTCTAGATTATTAGTTTCTATAAATTTTGGAGGGCGGAACACATGTCGTTCTCTTCATAAACAGAAGTGTTTAAGCTACAAATGTTTGTAACTCGTCAAAGTAGTAAACAATAAACACGGAATAAAAAAATCAGCAAATAATTGATAATCGTAGGTAATGATTCACGCGGACACAGTTTGCGTGCTGGCCTGATTGATGTTGTCGTCGGTATAGTATCCCGCGGGGATTCGATTTCGTTGTGAAATGGACATTGTAACTGGATAACGGCATAGACGGGTGTGTGACAGCTACATTTAGCACGCTCTGGTACTCAAGGCTATTTACCTGTACAGGAAGAAGATTACATCAATAGAACAATAGGATTATAGAATCTACTCCAGGACGTAACCAAAAACATTTCCCCCAGATTTTGTCTGTATCTCACAGTATACAACCTAATTAATATACACCACTTATGTTTCAAAATAACAGGACATATAATGTTATGTTGAAATGAATAGCGATTTTTCAATACACAAGCATTTCCCCCAGATAACTTTCCAGTTAATCAGTATCTATTAATCAATTATGTGTTGATAAATCATTATTTTGGTGATATCACATAAGCAATTTCAACTAAAAGTACTTATTATGTAGCATTGCCATACACAGATTAGAAAACGAGATACAAGTTACAAGTTACAAAAACACATGGTTTAAGGATTCACAAAACCACAGTTTTAAAATTTGCAAATTTTAAAGTAAAACTTTGTTTTTTGGAAGAGCGTTGCACGTACATGATTATAAACCAATGGAAACCGTCTTTACATCACCAACGTCAGAAATATTAAACCACCGTATTGGAGTTCACGTTATGGTGACCTTTTACTCAGTTCAATTTAAACCGAGAATTTGTTACAGCTATGTTTTTGACCAAACTAAATATTTGGGGGTGTCATTTTCAACCCCCCCCCC